TGAGGAGTGGCTGGTGGGTTTGAACCACCAGCCTTCTGGTTAGCAGTCAGTGCCTTAGGCACTACGCTACCAGAGCTCCTAGATACACTCCTAGGAGAGATCAATTAATGGAGAACAGAGGGACAGTGTATGCACAGGAAGACAGCTCAGGGGGCAGAAGTGCATGGGAGGGAAGGACACAGGGAAGAGGAACAAGTGGGAAGAGAGTTATTACCCTGTGGGAAATTGCAGTCCATGTCATGAGACAAAATGTGTAGGAACTGCTGTATAGGAAAATGAATTTGTTTTGTAGACTTTCATCCAAATCACAACAAAAATTTTTTTAAAAATGTATCAATATCAGTACATTAATTATAACAAATGAATTACATACCAAAAACCAAACTCACTGTCGTTGAGTCAACTTCGATTCATAACAACCCCTCCTTGGGTTTCTGAGATGGTATCTCTACAAAAGTAGATTGCCCAATTTTCCTTCTCTAACGAAGCAGATTGCCCCGTCTTCCTTCTGAGGAGTGGCTGGTGGGCTTGAACTGCCAGCCTTTTGGTTAGCAGTCAAATGACTTAGGCACCATGCCACCAGCACTTCCTGGAAACAGATCACTAAGCCTTTATTCTGAAATGCCTTTGGGTGGTTTTCAACTGTCAACCTTCCAGTTAGTAGTTTTGGGCTTAACAGATTGCACAACCTCAGGATTATACCAATACGTATTATAATATCATACTATACTATTCTGTTAATAGGAGCTCTGGCAGTGTACTGCCTAAGGCCATTTGACTGCTAAGCAGAATGCTGGCGGTTCAAACCCACCAGCCACTCCTCCAAAGGAAGGTTGGGCAATCCACTTCCACAGTGATACTGTCTCAGAAACCCAAGAAGTCGCTATGAGTTGGATGTGACTCAACAGCAGTGAGATTCTGTTAATGATAGAGGAAACTGTGTGAGTGGGATAGGGTATACAGAAACTCTCTGTACTATCTTCTCAATTTTTCTGCAAATCTAAAATTGTTCTAAAAGTTAAAGTCTGTTTTTGAAACGTTCTATTTCATCTTCTTCCACTTTAGTTACTCCTCATCACAAGCTCCACACATCATTTAATTCAGAGGAAAGAGAATGGGAGACAGAAAGGAAAGACAAGGCTGAGTCTAGGAACAGGGTCTGGAAGAACCAATTCATGGCCCCAAAACACTCTGGAATCAGAGAATTAAATTCAGTTTGTAGTTATTCTGAGATTTAGCTACTCTCCTGCGAAGGGTCAACATTTTGCTGTGATATCTATGTACTATTTCCTCTAAACGCTCATTCTCAGGACACAGATCAACTTATTATATACAGAATATATATAATCAGAGGAGCTCTGGTAGCGTAGTGCCTAAAGCATCTGGCTGCTAACCAGAAGCCTGGCGGTTCAAACCCACCAGTCACTCCTCAGAAGGAAGGTTGGGCAATCTACTTTTGTTGTGATAACTGCCTCAGAAACCCAACAAGAGGTCACTATGAGTTGGGTCTGACTGGATGGCAAATAACAACAACATAAAATCAGGAGTTAGCCCAGGGAAAAAATTATTTAGAAAACAATATTTAGCTTAGTGTTTTTGTTTTTAAAGATTGAAAATAAAGTATTTGTATGTATGTATGAATGTGTGTGTAAAGAAGGGTAGATCTACCTTATCAGTAAATAATCTATGAAATATGATTATATATGAAGACCTGTAAAAGCCAAAAATCTGGTGTGGCAAGCAGTTTTATTTTGCCACATTTAAACATATGTCAGATTTTCTAATAAACATCAAACATTCAATCTCAGTTAAAATCTCAAGCTAAATGAAAGGAAACCTTACTACTTCCCTGTGGGTAAATCTGAACTACATCTGAAATAATTCCTGAATGTGATCTTTCTTTCCTAGAAGATGAGGGGGTTAAGAGCATCCAAAGGAAGGATCTAAGCCTGTTTACTGCCCACAAGGAGAGAAAGATAAGTTATAT